ACATACAAAGTCCTCATCAATCCACGTTTATAGCTTATGGGACAAAAGCTGTCTGTTATAATGAAGATATTGCCCATTCCAGGTTTCTTCTCTATAGATGGACTTTTCGATCGTACCACCGTTTGTCCTTTCTACATTTGGATCCAGGAAATTCAACTCATTATAATGTAAATATTCCATGATAAATTTGATGTTTGCATGAGTAGTCTCATTGAGGCGGTCATATGATGCGGAAGAGCTTAAGCAGCATTTTGATGAATGAAAATTCTGGTAGCCCAGTGACTGATTCAAGTAGGCCACTGCTTGAAGATTTGTCGAATCAAATTTGTTGAATGAAAAGACGTGCAGCAATCGAAATGACTGAACACATATCCCTCTGGACATCTGGATAATTCTACCATTCATTCGAAAAACAGGAAGGATGGATGAGTACTATAAAAATCAGGTTTCGAAGTTGTGCAATTTCAATTGATGATACAATTATGAACAATAAGGAAATTGTGCTTGAATCTGATGCAGCGAATCACTGCCCTACTGAGACTATATCTTGCCCGTAAGGTTAAGGCTGAAACAGTACTTTACATTTAGTCGGAGCACAAGGACAATTTTTTCTAGTGGTTCTGCAATAAATAGACGAAGGTGGATATTATTTTAGCATCGTTTCAGCTACATCTGGGACGGATGAGAATGTAACAACCAATGTCACAAAGGTAAGACAAACCTTCATCACTCTGAAATCTGTTTGCAAAGCGTCTGCACTCAGTCAGCACCAAAGTGAAGTCAGTTGTTAGCTGTTTTATATGGGTCAGAGACATGCTATGTTATGAAAATCATCTGCAACAGGATACTGCAGACGTCTGTCAACAGCTGTCTTCACAGGCACCATAGTGAAGATCAGATGACCAGTGTGGAAGGATTAGCAACAAGAAACTCTGGAAACGACCCAATGAAGAACCTGTTGCTCAATACAATGGATTCAGAACACACTGAGGAAACCGTTGAGTGATATTGCGCGTCAGACAGGTCGTCGCTTGAGTGGAACCCCAGTGGGAAACGATGAATTGTGCGTGTCTTCGAGGCACACAACGCCTAAGGAACACATTGGTAAAAAGAGCATTCAGTGTAGCTGAAGTATGCTGTGTCTTCAAAACCATCCCGATTTTACATTCTGAAGGTAAAAAAGATAAACTGACTAATTTCGCTTCTTCTTCTTCTTTCTATGTGTATCTATCTTCACATTTTGACTGCTCTCGCTGTGGAGTGAGCCAGTCAGTTGCACAGACCCTACAATTATGTGTGCACTCATCGTTGGATTTCCGATGGATTTCCACCCTGTACAGAGGTTAAGTAGTAAGGGACAAACGAAATCCATTCATAGCTCTCTCTATACTGCCTCATCTCGTAGATACAGAACACAAGATTGATGTAAACAAAGCAGCTTTCAAAGTCATCTACCGTATATACCAACTAAGCTTAATTTTACCTCAAGACTTGGTCTGTTACAAACAAATATTGCTGAGGCTGACTGGCTGTTGGAATCTGCATTAAGAAGCCTAATGTGTATATCGAAAATAAGAAGTTGGTTGGTTCAGACACTTTCCTTACCGCCCCCTGGCTATCAATGAAGGTTTCAATGTTCCTTAATTTGTTGTTGTAGAGATTTCTTCAATTTTATTTGATATTGTATTATTATCATTACCTTAGCTGCTATCATTGTTATTATTTCCATTTTATATGCTGCATGTTTTTTTATTTTTATATTTTTATATTAACCCTATTGTAAATGTAGAAAAATTTTTTATGTGATTAATTGTATTTATAATTTTATGAAATTAGATGCAAGATTATGATGAATGCTGAAAATTCCATTCTGTATCACAATTACTGTTTTGGTATAGAGTAAATTATTATTATTATTAATATTCTATTTACAATTACTTATATATGCTTATTATTAAAACTTAAGCGTCTTTCTTGAACTCTTTGTAATTTCAATTTTGTTTCAAATTTAGTTTTGTTCCAGCATATTTCCACTTTGGGGCTTTTCTTCAGCTGAAGTAAGAGCACACATTTTTCAAAATATTCTACTCAAAAGAAGTCTGGCACAAGGCTTACGTAGTTTAAGGAGACATTAACAGGCAGGCAGGCAGGCAGTCAGGTATGATCGCATCATCACACGAGAAGAAGAAGAAGAAGAAGAAAGTATTCAGTTATTCATCACACGTGTGAAACAATATTTGAGAAGTTTTAGTGAGTTGGCTTTGAATAAGATTGGTTAAATATGTCAATTAAGAATATTAAAAGACTTATTAGAGAACCAAGAATATTCCTTTCGAAAGATTCCCTTTCAACATGCCCTACAGTTATGTGCATCCATAATAATTAACGAATTGGGATGAGTTAAGAAGACGGTTGTAGAGATGAAAATCTGAAACACACAGATATAGTCAATTGTGTACTTAGAATTAGGAGGAAGTTTGTGTATGTGGTTTGAATTTAGAAACAACATCTTTTTTGTTAGATTTTATCAATGTCTTTGGTGAAGGAAACCTTTGGAATACTTATATTTTTATAGCCTCTCTCTCTCTCAATATATATATATGTCTTTATTATCACTATCTTTCTATGCGATTTCACTTTTATTGAATTAATAAAAATATTTTCCCAGTGAACACTCCTTCACAATCCCGTCTGTAACCTTCTACGACGGAGAGGGAGACACATGAGAAGAAAGGCTACGCGGTTATGGATTTTCGTTCCCCAACTTTATGATCCCGACGATCCCAATATTTTATTCAAGATTGTGTAGTCCTTATTTGGTAGAAGTGGTATCAAGTCACAGATTTCTAAGCGTGCGTCAATGTTAGCAACGTTGGCGACGGGAGCCATTGTAGAGGTCAAACATTTGATCAGCAACCTCCCGGAAGACTATCCGATAAGCTGTACGTGGCAGTAATGCAGAGAATGAATATCTCCGATGAGCACCGATTTCAGCAATTACTATGCGGACGTGATTTAGGTACCAGGAGGCCATTTCAACTCCTCTTCCCCCTGACGCCTGTCTGTAAGCTAGGAGTCAACGTAGTCCAGTCAGTCCTGTAGCATCATCTTACATTTGACAGAAGGAGCGATTAGCGTGCCAAATATTCTAGGATTATTTCCCAAGATGTTCAGACGACTCGACCCTATTAAGTCAGCGACTTCCCCTGGAAGGACCATATCGTCTGCATATTCTAAGTCAACGACATTATTCCCTGATGGTAACAAGTCAATCCCTGATTCGCTCAAGTCAGTTAGGGTTGAGTCCATTAGTTCATTTTTGATAAAAATTAAACAGAAACGGGGACAGTGGACATCCCTGACGAACACCACTGGTTGTCATCACAGTTGTTGGATGACAACTCTACATAAGCTCTCTCCTGGCTGACTGCATGAGTTCCAGTAGATGTGCTTTGATTGGTGCGATGTATTTTCCCGGCATTCCCTTCACAGCCAAACATCACCATAGTACCTCTGGGTGTAAAGAGCCGAATTCCGCCTTCAGCTAAAGAAATCTGCTAGTTGCTGGACGCCGGTAAGTATGCCTAAGTTCCAGTATCTGTCGAAGAGTGAAGATAAGATAAATTCAGTCTCTTCCTGGTCCAAAGCCTGTCTGGTTCTCTCGTCTTTGTATTTACCGAGCATCAATTAGTCTACGAATGGTTATTGAGCCTACAACTTTAGATATCATATTTGTCAAGCTAATCCCCCCTGTGATTATCACGGAAAGACTTGTCTCCCTTCTTGTATATTGGGATAAGCAATAACTTACACCAGACTGACGGGACTACCTGTGATTCCTAGACGCTGTCTAATACCTTAGTTGACGGAGACAGTAAACTGTCTCCACCATCCTTAAACACCTCTGGAGTCATTCCATTCGGTTCTCCTGCTTTGCCTTGTTTCAGATGAGTGACGGCTTTCGTAACCTCAATTAAGGATGGAGGACCTGTGTTTATGTCCCATTCAGGTAGGTGTTGGGTGCTGGATAAGTTGAGCATGGCTGTAGGCCATTTGAATCGCTCCTCAAAGTGTTCTTTCCAACGTCCCTGAGAGCTTATTATAGTGTTATTTTTCTCGAAGAGTGTTTCACTTATCATTTGCAAAAATGTAAAGACTAGAACCAACCGTTTCCAACTTCGAAGTGCAACACAGTAAGTAGGTGATGATGTCATTCAAGACAACAAAGGCCTTTCATTCACAAGGCAGAGGTGCATTCACTTACATCTAATCACAAAACAGAGTCGGTGGGACAGGATGACAGTATTAAAACGTGATATAGTTAGTTAGGTGAACGGAGCGAGCAAGCGAGCGAGCGAGCGCGAGAGAGAGGTTAATCACTGAAGCTTTGTTTATCGATTCAACACCGAACACCTGCAGCGATCGGAATGATACGACGCAACACCAGCGCCTATACCGGAGATATGGAAACTGACAAGAAACAACACGCGGGGGAAGTTGTAAAGAGAGAGAGACAGAATAGAGGGAGACAATATACGCATAAGACAAATGGTGAAACCGTGAGCGACTACAATTGATTGATGTGATTATGAGAGTGGCAATAATTTATACTGGACAGATTGTCTGTCTGTATGTCATCCAGTTGTTAATGCTTCATCGTCGTCATCATCATCACTGTGTGTGTGATATTGAAAATAACCTTATCTAAGATGGTTTTGTAGGGATATTGTTTGATTGGACGGAGGATGTCAGCTCATGGTGAAATCCTCCATCCTCATCTAATATGGAATTATTTGTAAGAAACAGTCCTTAATCTATCGTCCTATCAAACTTTTTAAAAAACCCACCACCACGATTCAAACAAATAAATAAAATTATTCGTTTCCAACTTAGGTTTGGTGGAGATTTCGATGTTGACTAAACAATGACGAAAACTTTAACGATACGGAAATTATTTATGGTGCATAAAAATAGTAGTAATAATAATAATAATAACTTACATCCTGGCGGAACTTGTAGAGGATGTCCTGAAGCATGACAATATCCAACAGGGAATAAATCAAGAGAGCCCACCTCTACGCGTATATTGTATTTATCAGACCAACCGTCATATCCAAGGGTAAGAAATCCTGGTGGCGTGTTGTCTACAACATTGGCAACACGAATTAGTGATGGACACCGTTTGTCCACAGCTTCTAGACGTTGGTTAACCTGGAAGTGTTGAGATGATTTGGCAAATTTTGTAGCCTATAATACATTTTTTTTTTAAAGTAAAAAAGTGGATAAGGAATGTGTGACAAAATCGTCAGAAACAGATAGTCCTCTTGATTTTGTACTATAAATTTTTAAAAAATGATAACGATGATGGTGTTGATACTGATGATAACAACCCTGAATTCCAGTTGTAACTATCCTTAGAGGAGTTATGACAGATAATTCACCTTCAGTTATACTTCATTATAGTCAACATTTCGCTTTCTAATTATTATTAAAAAAAATCTACTAATATTTCCCAGTGAATGATGAAAAACATGACGATATTGCCGTTTTTTACTGATGTTTCACTGTTAATCGCTGCTGCTAATAGCTTCATCAAAGGAGTATTATTAAACCAGAAGAATGTACACAATCTCAGACAAGCACACTCTTTGATTTTAACGGATGAGAAGGAAAAATAAGACGAAGAGGATATAAGAATAGAACTCGTGCACTGTGGTGGTGGTAGTACAGTATAATTCCATTGCGGGTAAAATTTATTTTGATAAAGTCTTACAGTGTTTTTTATACAGTGGTATTTACTGACAACAACGTTTCTAGCACAATTTATTGCTCATAATCATATCAAGGCACTACTCACACACAACTTTCTAACTTCGTTTATACAATTCCATTATTTTTCATTGCTTGATTTGATTGGTAGTAGTATTTTCCATATTTCCGGTATGAGTGATGATGAGTCATTCATATTGCACGTGTTGGGTGTAGACTTGATGAACCAGCAAGGATTCAGTAATCAACCTCTCTCTCTCCACCTACATAGATTACTTCTTGGCATATTAACCCTCTCCCTCCATGCTACTGTGTGGTTGTGTGTTAATGCATGCAGTGCAATATGGCGCTGAGTTATTTTCTCTAAATTACTTATCTTTGTGGGGTCAACCATTCTTACCTTGGCTAAATTCTTATGTTCCGACAATCTGACTACCCCTGACCTACTAGTCTGACCTATGTAGTTGACCTAACTCACAGTGATTGCAAGGTATTTTGTAAATTGTATTATTTTGTCTAATTGGGTCAACCGACAGGGTCCTTTAACCTACAGAGATTGTTCCCGAGTGAGTTTGCAAGTTTAAATACAACCACCCCAATTCCTGTTTCATTAAGAATCCCACATAGCGTCTCAGATGTCCCCTCCTTGCATCGCATAACAGTAGATGCCTTATATTCTCTCTTATTTATGTTACTTATCATTATTAGTTTCACCATTATTTTTATTTTACTTGTGACCTCTTTTGATGTTGCTAATCAATTTTCTGGGATAGTTATTTGACACCAACACTTCTTCTATCTGTTTTATTTCACCATTTGAGTTTTTTATGTAGTAATTAGTGCTACTGCTCGGTTTGTTAGACACTTGACTAAGCCTGCCTTCACAGAAAGATAACGGATGAGATGAATTAAAATTTAAGTGTCTATTAGCACACGCTGGTATTTTATAAATGCTAGTATGCAGTCGTGTATGTGTGAGTAATTTGCTTGATAATGATTATGAGCCATAAATTGTGCTGGAAGCGTTGTGATAAGTAAATATCACTGTATAACAAACACTGTGAGACTTTATCATAATAAATTTTATCCACAATGGAAGAAGAAGCAGAAGAAATGTCAAACATTACTGAAACTCTCAAGAAGATAACTAACTACCCAAAGAACTTCACTTAACAAAATCAACACCAACGACATTAAATATGGTCGAAAACATGTATTCCGAAGGTATGCACCTCAGGTGTTGTCATTCTGTATACATCAGTAACGTCAGACGATATTTATCAGAAGAGTACTTTCTAATCAAAAACACAACATCGGACGTTTATCCGACTTTTTAGTACTGTTGTAGATTGGCGCTCGAAGTCATCCCAGAAATTAGTGCATGTTATTTTGTCAATTGTTAAATCATGTGTACCATTACCACCTAAAGTAACAAGGAACAATAGATACGACAGTCAAATCACCTTCAACAAGCCAATCATGTGCTTCGAGGCCAAAAGCGACATTTATAGTATGAAATAGTGTGTTTATTGAATATAATAAGTAGGACAAAAATTAACTATATACGCTGTATGTCTCTAATATGCTGCAAAAAGAGGTCTCACTTCCCCCATAAGAGTGTTGATAATAAGTAAACCACAACATGCATGAGTGCCAGTTATGGAATCCACTAATTCTGATGAATGATTGACTTTATCATAATTATAACCTAATGATGATGGTCACATTTCTCCGCATTTCAAATGATGAACACTACTCATAATCACTGTAGCAAGTTTCACCTTAACCTTAACCCTGCCTTAATCTTACTCTGACGCTAACTCCAAATCAGGGTGGAACTTGCAACAAACGTAAAGTGAATCATTTGTAGGAATGAGCGATCTGATTGGCCGGCTCAAGGTCATTTGACTATCGTAGCTAGTCGTTACTGCTACTCACCCATCCCACCCCTACTATTTCAAGCAAAAACCCGGCGATGTCGTGTCCATCAGCTATTCACATAAGAAGATAAGCATTAAATCCTGTGAGAAATACAGAAACAGAAAAAACAGAGTAAAAATGTTGGGTTTAAAAAAAGATTTAGTTTACATTACTTCATCGAATGCTTCTTTAGGTACAGGATTTGAATTTGTCTCTTTTAAGTAAAGCTTCCAATTAAACCCGTTACGACGATTACTCCAATCTGTATAGAGTTACATAGAAAAAAGAAACCAAAATACCACAAAATGAACAGAAATCACCAATGGAAAAGGTCAAGTTAAGCTTAAAGCGCCAGTACTGTACAGACGCAAAGACTTAATTCGAAAGTAAAGCAAAAAATTGAGGTCTATCAAGTCAGACATGTTCTGATGAATAGGAGGGAATTAAGTGACCCATTGACCGAAGATATGCGTCAGTTGTAAGAAAATTTTCTTCGGTAGCTGGATGCAACCTGATGCAATCATGAAATGTATGAAATAGCAGTCAGTGTGACGTAATCAAGGTAAATTTAAGCTGAATAACCGATTAATTATTTTGTGAGTAGAATTTAGCGAGGTAGTTGATGATTACACAATTGTGTCACATGTCACTTAAACGAAAGCGGAGATGACCCGTAAGAAAAGTATGAGTCATCCGAACTGTTGATTATGTAACTGGTGTCTGTTTTGTATAGGTTTAGTTGTGCCTTGTATACAAATCAATAAAGACTTGAATAAATGTGAACTCTGTTTACTAAGATATTTCCCAGTTCGCTATTGGATATTTTATTCAATCTGACCTTGTCATCTGAGTTGTAATAATTACAAATTGACTATAAGTAGGTTAACAGTTTAGAATAAAATCATTTTGTGACAAGATGCCAATGCAGTGGCTTTTCTTAATGTATCAGAAAATTCAACTTTTTTTCCTCTTGTTATGCTTTTCGATTATCAAAAAAACTTTGAGTTCACGAAGTTAATCATAAGAATGTTTAAATGGAGGTAGGTGAATCCTATGTGATATTTCCCTAATCAATTCATTCACATAGAAAAGACTGATTCAATTAGTCGGGAACAACGCTTACCTAATTGTTCCATGTAAAATGGTGTTATTACTTTTTTTGGAATAAATAGCTTGGTTGCATACTTGAGTGTTTTGAAGTCATCTCATCCAATTCACAAAGTTAACGTTTTCGTGTCTCTGTTTTTCATGCGTGCGTTAGTAATTGAGGTAGATTGGGATATGCCGCTTATCAGCACGATTTAGTATTTGTCAATGCGTTATTGTGTCAGCTGGTATTCGTTCCATGGGTTTAGGGTGAGGCAATATTTTGTACTTGATTAAAAGCCGTGTGATTTCACATTATGCGTGTCAAAATTATTTAGAATACACCCACTCACTCACTGTCGAGCACTCGAATTTCTCTTCCGAATTCAATCCTAAGCTCAACGTCTCTAAAGTCGACATTTTTTTATCAGTCTACGGAGTCCCAAGACACAAGTTATATCAGGTTGATCTAATTAGAATTATTTACTCGCACTTCACTTCATGTTGTCTTCGGTCATGAATTGGTGGGTGTTGAACTCCAGTCAAATACGTAAGAAGATTGACTCATTGAACACAGATGTAGTCAACTGAGGACTTCGAATTATGAGGAAGTGTGTGTGTGGGTGCGTGGTGTGGATTTCAATGTTCGCCACCACATATAGTGTATTAGGAATTCGAGATGGAATTTGTGATAAAGTCTTGAGTGATTTTCGTCCATATCCCAACACAGGTTTATGAGTTCGTTGCAGTTATATCACATAGTGAAAATCACATGTTAGTATAAATTGAGGCTTGCTATCCATAACGAGAATGTTTACTGTTGTTGTGTCTGTTCAAGAGCTGACCTGTTCACTGATGTGGACCTGTTGAAGACATAAGTGTGACTGGAAATGTGTATTATTTTCGATGGAGTGGTTCGAGGAAGTTCCGGCGATTAGCTCTACCGTGTAGGCTATTCGAGTGGGCACATTTCATTACGCTGACTGATAGTAGCTTAGTAGAGTGAAATTAAGCACCTTCCGTGTTGACTGTAGTGGCTTTTCAGCTAAAAGTGAGTGAGATAAGCTGTCGAGGTATCCATTCAGTCTCTGGAATTAAAACATACTCAGTGTGCAAGTAACTGGCAATCCACTGGTCTCTCGCAATGACAAAGAAAGTCAGTCGGGTTGTGAATGGATTGTGGTCTGGTGAAACGAAGAGTGTTTAGTGATCTCATTGGCAAGGCAATTAAGAGGGGAGGCAGGATTTATAACCGAATGCATTAAACAGCTTCACTAAAAGTTAACCCAACAAACTCCCAATTGATGTTTTCCAGTTGACGGAGTTAGCCTAATTCATTTCTGAAGAGACTTGACTACAACACGTACAGGTCGATAACTGATTCAGTGTTTATCACTCTGGCGGTAGACCACGTGATTCCTGTGAGATTAGAGACGGGTATTTCTCACTTATATATTCTGAATACCCGATTTCATACAGATTTACATCACTCACAATCGAATAATCAGTGAAGTGTCACTTTTCAACCAATCCATTATCAAGCTGTATGCTCCCACGTGAACAATGGAGCCACGTTTAACTCAAAGCACCTGGAACTACCAACAGTGTGTGGTTGCATCGATTACTTTGAATGGACCTGTGAGATTCCCCATCACATCAGCTCACGCTTCCATCCTGCTTAATTCGAGTCAAATAACGCCTGTTCTAGCAGAGTTACGTCTGAAATTTGGTGAAGACCAAGTTTTCCAGTATTACTTAGATGGCCGGGGTTGATTAGAACAGAACGCACTTGTTCATGTCGAGGAATCGTCAGTATAGTACAAAAAGCTTTAGTAGATCAATTGGTGGACATGTCCATCGTTGTGGAATTTCTGTGAACCGAGTTAGAGGAAGGGAAGCCGATGATTCTGCAAATTATTTCGTAGGAACATCTTTCTCCTTGATCCCATCTGTCGTTAACCCAGATTTTACATATTTGTGATTACTGCGTTTTAGAACAGGCTGTGAGAGGTGCAGCTGCTGAAATACAAAGTAGTCTCGTATGAACAGTTCAGTGGTACTGACACGGTAGAAGACGAGAGACTTGGTAAAAGGGTGTTTATCTGCAATTCAGTATCTCTATATAGCCAAATTATGTACACCTTATCTTCAATGCACCATTTGCACAGATCTCCCGTGTTGTACCTGCTACTTCTGCCCATCCATCATATTGTGTTTCTTTGTTTTCATCTCACGTCTCACATGTATCTCCGCTACACTGTATCATTTGCTTTCACTGACATCAAATCAATCTGCCTGCTATTTGATGTTTTTATGCCAGCCGATGAACTTCGCTTTACATCCTACTACTGGTAAATCTAATCAGTAGCACACGCCACACCAGCACTGCACAGATATTGCATCTTGGAAAATCGACAAACTTACTTCTCTATTCGGAGGAGATGTTATTATTGTACATTTAGATGAAACTGTCTTATCAAAGAGGAAATATAATCGTAGTCGTGAACAAGCCAGTAATGTTGTTTGGGGGATTGGATTATACGATGCCTCTCCATGGAAAGGATTCGTCCAGAGAATAACAGATAGAAAGTCAACTACTTTATCATACCGATTACCACTCGATTGGTGAAACGACGATCCACAATACACACAGATGAGTGGAAAGGATATAACTCGGTGTCATCCCTGGAACAGATTCATCATGGAGTGAGTAAACCACGCCGCTGATTTTGTGAATCCTATCACAAGGACCTACACCAGTTCAATTGAAGCATTTTGGAGAAGGTTGAAAAACAGGATTAGAGCGCCATTAAAAGATCTCAAAAGGATATTATTCATAGTCATTTGCATGAATGAGCGTAATACAGGATGTGTAGTGCTACATCTCTATTGATACTCCTATGGAAAGCTGGGAGTCACTTTTGTCACACATCAGAGAAGGGTATCCTGTGTAACACTTTTATGCCTTTTTCATCCATTTCTTCTCATGAATATATATGCGTTTTATACGTGAGAAAAGGCTATTTCATGTGAGTGGCATTTTCAAGATGATTTTCCAGTTGATAGTTACTGCTGCTTAAAGTATCACTTTGCGAAGGATACACACTGGTTAGTGCAAGCCATGGAAGTGTGAAAATATCCTGACTGTGTGACTGACTGACTGACTGACTAAGTGGTTTCGGCATAGAAGTTTGCACAGATGTGCAGCAGCAGTTCAAGTGGTCACACTCCCCCGCCCCCTCTCCTGCGCCATACAGAACAAAATTCAAGAGAAGAGAGTACAGATAGATTGAAAGGGGAGAGAGATAATAAATAGAAGTGTGAATGAGGCAAAAAGAATAATAATATCGAAGATAAACAGTGGAGGTTTATTAGACATAACCAAACAGTCAGTCAGTCACTTACGCGCCCTAATAACTGCAGTACTGACTGGATGACGTAGGTTCGAATCTTGGAAGGGATATGAGTTGTTCCTTCAATGTGGTTGCAGAAACTCCTTGCTGGCTGATGGTGATTGCCGAGAAGCACTCAACCTAGGTGTAGACAGGGCTTCCTGCGGCCGATTGCCTCCAACCATGTAATATGACCAACAGATGTGTATACGGAAGACCTTTTAACATGGCAAACTAAGATTGGAAACACATTCCGTGAGATTGTGAGCAGTAACTGAGCGCATAAAAGCAGACAGAAAGAATGAAAACACCATTTATACATTCTAGACGGTGAGTGAAAATGAAATAGGGACTAGTTGAATTAGAACTTTCCACAGAAGTGTACCACTTCAACATGACACAGCTGTCAGTTGAGTACGGCTAGAATTATCATTTTTCTTAAGCTGAGATTTAATGAGATAATATTTTAACAAGGATACTGGGACTTCAGAGTCCGATGAATAAGCATTGTTTTATTTAGCATATCAAATTGCTAAAATCAACAATAACTGATTTATTTATAACAGTTAGACTATTTTTCTGGATTGCATCATGAAGTGACATCCGTTGGTTAGAGAACTAGTGGACGAAACAGCTGTAGGGCTCTCCCAGCTGGTTTTCCTGAAACCAATCAAATCCCTGGAAACCAACACTTGAATGTCAATCTCGTGGTCACTAGTGACCGGTCGTATTCAAGTAGGCAGTTACCTGGGTTCTAGTGAGAAGTCGTTGCCAGTGAGGTATA